AATCTAACCTAAACTGGTTATCCGCAGTTAAAAAAAAATGTCTTATCCGAGTTCCACAAACCTTGTAATTAAGATGTAGATTCATTTTGAGGGTGAGCCGGATCCTGATAAGTTGGAGGTTAACATATCTCAAGTCACAGACTTGGCTGATTTCAAACGTATTCTCAAGAACGAATTCGAACCGTTAAAAAAGATCAGACTGCAATATATCATATTCCTTAATAATAATAACACACCTCTTTCACCAGATACTTGTTTACAAACTCTAGCAGACAGTACAACTGCTAAAACACCACTTCTTGTTTGTCACCCCTTCTCAAATACAAATAGTAAGTAAGCTTTTTATTTTCTCTGTTTTATTTTTCCTACTTAAAATAAGTGCTTATTAGTTTCCACCAAATGTAGTTTCGGTGAGCTTCAATTATTTACGTTGTTCAGGCAAATATAAAATACCACATACCAGTGGTTCCTTAAGTTTATTATGAGAAGAAGTTGTAAAAAGATTTAAGGAGTTACAAACAGAAGAATTCTACTTTTTCAATGATGAAACAAAAGATGAGATTCGAAATGAGTATAGCTTTAACATTTTAGTATCTCAGACCGAACTAAATGGTAATGACTATAGTCTTAAACTAAAAGTTAAAATCGATGATAAAAAGTCTTACAGTGATTGGGAACTAAAGGACGTGTTTAAAGAAATATTACGACAGGATTATAAATCTCTTAGTGGCATGCCAAGGCTTAACTTGAATGACCTACCCTCGTTAGAGCACTCATTTACTGAGGACAAATTAAAGGGTTTCGTTAATGAACTTCAAAGAACACTTAATGCATTCAAGAAGGAATTTGGCATCAATGAGATGACTGCTCGTGAATATATTTCTACCTTCATGAAAACTGTGGTTTGTCATATACAAGACTACATAAACGAATCTGCGCAATTGAGCGTGAAAATAGACCTGGATGAAAGTCATGAGTACGGCTCTGTAGACTACATGGTGGATATCGGTAAAATTTTGGTGTTGTTATATGAAGCAAAAGCAGAAAATATGAACAAGAGAACAGCTCAAGTTCTTGTACAAATGCATAGCGCAATAGAGCAACAATTGGGTAAATGTAAGCACAGCCAAATGGAAAAAGTGATGTTCGGAATAGTCACAACTGGAAAATTATGGTGATTTGTACATTGGACTGGATTATTGGAAGAACCAACAGTTCATATCTCTGAAGAGTACACTTGCAATTTTAAGGATAAAATGAAATCCGAAAAGGAAGTGTTAAAATATATTACTCAGATATTACAAGTCCAAGCTATGGCATTTGATGATGATGACAAGGGTGGCCGTCCTTCAAAACATCAATGTATTTATCAAGAAAATGATAGGTGAAAGAATTTTGTCCCTCATTCCTGATGTATATTTTCATTTCTGCATGTATTATTCTTTGCATTAATGTAGTCTTAATTATTAAAAATAAGTATCTGTGCTTAGCTCAATAATACGTGAAAATAATAAAGATTTCAACTGAATTTGATTTTTTTAACCTTGTGCGATAAAAATAAAAAAATGTACATGCTATCATATTTACATCCACAATCAGATGAATAAAATTAGATTGCCAGTTTACTATATTGCCATAAAGCTGGCCCAGGTGGCCTATTTCGCATACATAATCAGTTTACTTATGTGTGTATAGTTCACGAATTTATTTATTGTATTGATAACGGATAACGATATATTTCTCGATAAAAGTGATTGGTGTGACAAATTGTCACGCGCAGATAATTTTTTTATTTGAAATTAAAAGCATTAATTATCAAGGAAAAATATTTTTTAAAACATGTACAGTAAAATTCTTTTTCCAAATGTTATATAAATTAATATCAAACATGCAAACTCAAAGAAATGAATCTAAAGATTTATCCGAAGTTGGCTCATTAAAACTGAAAAATGCTAGGCTTATGACTAGGATCACAGAATTAGAACAAATAGTAAAAGAAAAAAACGCACTTGAGACTACTGTTGTTAGGCAAAACTATTTTTGGCAAATGGCAGAAGTCGAAACTAAATCTGGCAAAAGTCAAAACTGTTAAAATTCCGGCGAAACAGTGAAACTATGGCAAAATGGCGAAACTCTGGCAAAACCTTGGTAAAGCTAAAACGCCTGGAGAAAGTCAAATACAGCAAAGATCAAATCCTCTAAGACTTTAGAAAGACTGAGCCATGTTGGTAAATTAAAATATTTTGCGTATGGCTATTAAGC